AAGAAAAGAAAACAAGGAGTGGTTGGGAGCTTCAGTCAATCGCCAGCCTTAAGGCAGCCCTCAGCCCCTCACCCAGACTGGCCAGGCACCCCAGTGGGGACCCCCACCCTGAAGGGTGTGTGACCAGCTGCAAACAGCCATCATCACCTCATCCAGACTGGCCAGGCACTCCAGTGGGGACCCCCACCCTGATCCAGGTCACCCTTCAGGGCAAACCAGCCGGCCCCCAGGCCTCTATCCTATATAGTAAAAGGGTAATATGCCTCCCAGCACCGGGATCAGCGGAGCCGTGAGGCCTCCTGGCACCAGATCAGCATGACAGGGTGCAGCACCCAAACCCCCTGATCGCCCTGCGGCTCTGTGTGTGACAGGGTGTGGCGTCCCAACCCCCTGATCGGCCCTGCTCTGTGTGTGACGGGGTAGAGCCATAACCTCCCCATCGGCCCTGCCCTGAGTGTGACAGTGGCGGCGCCCCAACCCCCTGATCCGCCCTGCTGTGTGTGTGACAGGGGGCGGTGCCCTAACTCCCCTATCGGCCCTACTCTGTGCGTGACAGGGGGGAGCTCCCCAACCCCCTGATGGGCCCTGCTCTGTGCGTGACGGGGGGGGGGGGCAGTGCCCCAACCCCCTGATTGGCCCTGCTCTGTGCATCACAAGGGGGTGGCGCCGCAACCTCCCCATTGACCCTGTCTTGAGTGTGACAGGGGGCGGTGCCCCAGCCCCCCAATCGGCCCTACCCTGAGCGTGACTGAGGGTGGCATCGCAACCTCCCAATCCCCCCTGCTCTGTGCATGACAGGGGGCGGCGCCCCAACTCCCCAATCAGCCCTGCTCTGAGCCTGACCAGGGGCTGCACCTAGGGATTGGGCGTGCCCTCTGCCACCCGGGAGCAGGCCTAAGCCAGCAGGTCGTTATCTCCCGAGGGGTCCCAGACTGCGAGAGGGCACAGGCCGGGCTGGGGGACCCCCCTACCCCCCTCCCCCCGAGTGCACAAATTTTTGTGCACCGGGCCTCTAGTAGAAGATAAATAAATCCCAGATACCTGCTTCTAGCCAACCGACCAAAGGCTTGACCAAATGCCAGGCGGGGGTGGGCGGGGCGGGGCCAGGCGGGCGTGGTGAGGTAGCCTCCGGCCTGGGCGCCCTGCTGCCTCGGTGGTTGACTCCAGCAGGACCTGGGCCCTCCCCTCTGTGGACCAGAGGCCCTTTTCCTGATACCATGTTCCCAGGATCTCTCAGACCCATTTGTGGAAGTCAGGAAACACTGCGTGTGGTCATCCCGCCTTGGGGACTCCAAGGGTTGACAGCAAGGGTGGGCTTCTGTGGGGTCCCCTCTGTTATGCAATCCAGGATCCCTACATCCTAATACTGATTCTGGCAGGACTTGGGCCGGTCCTCTGTGTATCTGAGGTCCCGCTCCCTATACTAACGCCCCCGAGTCTCTGAGACCCGGATGCAGAAATTGCCTGTTGTCGTCATCCCACCCTGGGGACTCCCAGGGCTTACACTGGGGGAGGGCCTTGGTGGCGTCGCCTCTGTTGTGGTATATAGAGTCCCATTACTGTTTCCTTAGGGTCCTCACCTTGACTCTGGCAGGACTTGGGCCGGTCCTCTACGTATCTGAGGTCCTGCTCCCTATACCAAAGCTCCTGAGTCTGAGACCCGGATGCAGAAATCGCCTGTTGTCGTCATCCCGCCCTTGGTGGGATGATTCTGTTCTAGGGTCCAGGGTCCCTCCCTCCTCCCTCATGCTCCTCACCTTGAGCCCTGGAAGGTCCTGGAATCCTCCCTCTGTTGACCCAAGGCCGGACTCCTCAGATCAAGGCCTCACTGCCCTGAGTCCTCGGCAGGAAGTCAGTGTACCTCATCCGGTACCAAGCCCAGCAATTCCAAAGCCTGATGGCAGGGGCTGAGATGGATTCCATAGGGTTTTTTAGCCCTCCCTCTGATCCTTACTTTGACAGGGCTTGGGCCTCCTGTATGAATCTGAGTCTGCAATCCTCAGACAAAGGGTCTGACTACCCGAGTTCCCTGAGCAGGTGGGGGAGGGGGAGGTGCAGCTTTCAACATAAAAACAGGAAGCCCAACTTTGGGAATTTAAATTCCTGCCTCATTCACCTTATACTGTTAAACTCCAAATCTAGATACTATACCTACTATGATCACCCCCAAGATTTTCAACAAAGCTAAGATAACCAGTTGAGCCGAAACCGGTTTGGCTCAGTGGATAGAGCGTTGGCCTGCGAACTGAAGGGTCCCAGGTTCGATTCCGGTCAAGGGCATGTACCTGGGTTGCGGGCACATCCCCAGTGGGGGGTGTGCGGGAGGCAGCTGATCGATGTTTCTCTCTCATCGATGTTTCTAACTCTCTATCTCTCTCCTTTCCTCTCTGTAAAAAATCAATTAAAAAAATATATTAAAAAAAAAGAAAGAAAGAACTGTTAAAAAAAAAAAAAAAAAAGATAACCAGTTGAGCAACTCTATTCATTAAAGACAGCCTAAAGGCTATGATTTCAACCTTGAAAACAGACAGCTGGGGAGAGCCACATGGACAGTGGAAAAAGGGGGGTGAGATGGAAAATTTCTCTGGTAGTAGCCAAGAAGTGAATGGTTTTCAAGAGCAATCTGTACTAGGGAAGCAAGATGATTCACATCTCCACAGAGACAGTCACATTACCTTGAAAAGATTTTAGGTAAATCTTATAAAAACTAGCTAATGGTGAAGGATGAGAAAGAACAATGAACCACTGAAATGGGTGGGCTAGGGAAACATTTGGAGGAAGCATCATCTCCCTACCATATGACCCATCAGAATTGAACATGGGGTCAATAAGTTTGAGAAGGCTTAGGAGTGCTAAAGAAATGCCCCCTTTCTCTTACCAAAGCATCTTGGCCTCCTCACCCCTCCCATGGAAGTGTCAGGATGGTGCTTTATGATGTCTAAGTTTCTCTCCCAGAGTTTCCATTAGCTGGAGGGGAGGCTTCCTGATTAATTAAAGCCTAGAGGATGTGGCCCCTCATTTTCCTAGAGAAAAACATATGTTCAGGAGACGGGTAGGGCCCTGGGAAATTTTGACATGGTGAAGATGACCAGGAAACCACAAAACTCCTAGCACAGTTATGTAACAACCAACCCCATTCACCAAAAGAAGGTAAAAGAGGAAGAAGCCCTGTTAACCCAGGTCCAGTGTCCAGGATTAAAGGACCACACCCAAACTTCTCCTCTTCTTTAGTGGCATCTCCCCAAGACTCCCTGGTCTTGCCTGGCAGATTTCATCCGCAACCCATACTTTTTCTCATGAAGACTTTTTTCCCTTTCATCCCAGCCATTTCCCAACAAACCAATGTCCTTCAGTGCTCACTCTGTTGTCCTTCCAGGTACTAAAGACATCCATGGGGGTGAAAAGATGTCTTTAAGGGAGTTCAAGGAAAGGAGCCTTTTCAAAAATTCCTACCCATTCAAGAAAACCTACGAAAGCTATAAAGCCAACAATATGTGGCCATTATCACAGGCCAAATGAGGAACTGAATAAAAATGATCCAGAAAAAGACCAAGACAATGTAGAAAAATTCACCACCTCGAGTGATAACTTGGGCAGCCAGTAATTTCAGAGCAAGGCCAGAGACCTCAGAACTATCTATGAAGTCTCTGAAGTCTGACCCCAAGAAATGCTGACAGTGTGGAAGCCAAATTTTACACCTACAGGTACACCAATAGTGATGATTAAAATAAAATTGATAAGTGGTCCCTTCTAGTGTAAGCATAATTTGCAGACATTTTTTATTAAATTTATGGGAATAACATCTATCTAATAAAAGGGTAATATGCTAATTGGACTGGGGGACCTTTCGGACAAACCCATGTTGGCGGGGCTGAGGCAGAGGCGGTTAGGGGTCATCAGGCCAGGAGGGGAGGGCAGTTGGGGGTAATCAGGCCGCCTGGGGGTGGGGGGGAGCAGTTGGGGGCAATCAGGCAGGCAGGCAGGTGAGCAGTTAGGAGCCAGTGGTCCTGGATTGCAAGAGGGATGTCCGACTGCCGGTTTAGGGCCTAAACCGGTAGTTGGACATCCACCGAGGGGTCCCAGATTGGAGAGGGTACAGGCCGGGCTGAGGGACACCCTCCCCCCCCCCCCCCGCCCCGCATGAATTTTGTGCACCAGGCCACTAGTTTATGTGATAAAAAGAGTATGTCATTGCGAAGAATGAGACAATATAGCATAGTAGGTGCGATTTGCAATTTTGTCACTCACTAGGTGTGCATCCTTGGGAAAGGTACCTACTGGTTAAGCTTTCAGTTTTTCACCTGTAAAATGGTTATAATAGCTTGAAAGTAAGCTTGTTGTAATAATTGTAACAAGTAATCCTATACAAGCACTTAGTACTGTGCCTGGAGCAAGATAACAACTCAAGTTAAGTGGTGGCTTTTTAAAATAATATTGATGACTCATGAATATAAAAGAGTAACATTAAACCCTTTGTTACATAATGGTAAGAGGAAAGATTCAAAGTCGTATCTGTATCATGATTACAAGATGTGAAAATAGATATGCATATGGATAAATACTGGAAGGAAATTACCCCCAAAATGTAAACTGATATGTTTTAGAGTTATGGCATATCAGTGATTTTTTAAAAGTATTTTCATTCTTGTTATGTTATCTATACATTAAATCCTAGCTAGAAGAAGGACAGGAATGAAGAGATAACCACTTTAAGAATTTGAAAACCTGAGTTGGAATCCTAGTTCCACTGCTTTGTAGCCATTTATTTTAGGAAATTATTTAATGTCTAGGTCTTATTATTTCTGTGTTCTAGGTGAGGAAAATATTTACCTTTCAGATAAAATTTAAATGTGAAATTAAAAATTAAGTATTAAATTTACATGTGAATATTAAATGAACTAAGGAATACTTACAATATTGCTTAAAATGGTTATAAATATTATCACTGGAACTGGCTGATTTCCATTTTGACCTTTATTTTATTTTATTTTTCTAAATAGACCTCAGAAAGCGAGGATGAGATTCTGGGCCAAAGGGAAACAAGGGGAGAAGAAGACCACCAGAGTGAAACCTGCCACCCAGTCGGAGGTTTTACCGCTCTTGGCTGGCTCAGATATGATTCCAATGCATCAGTTTCCAGATGGTAAAAATGGACAAAGGGGGGGATTGTCTTTGTAATTCCTGTTTACTCTTTCTAAAAGTTTGCTATTTTTCTAATATCATAACGGCAACCCTGTTGGCTACATTTTCTACTGAGATAGGACCAGGATTATGAAATCCTTCCTTAACTAAAAGATAATTATGTGGTACAAAATGGTGAAGCAACAACTACTTTAAGAATGGTTGAATCTTTGGTTAGCCTCATTTTTTTAAAGTATTAAAATTTAGTCCTCATACACTCACAAATATATATTATTAGTAAAAATAACAGCAGCTCATATTTGAGTGCTTACT